TTTGAGCTGAGATGAGTGGTTAGTACAGGACTAAGCACAGACTAGATTTTTATTTAATATTTCAGGAGCAATGAATTATTCAGCTAGAGATAAGGCATTCAGTTGGTGACAGAAATGAGCACAGAAGACTTTTATGTAAAGATGGGAATAAATTGAGCTTAATGATTATACATGGCTCAAATTACTGAACCTCAGGAAAAAAATATAAACTATACTAAATCAACAGTGACAAAATATATCATGTGTCATCTATCTCATGGATTAGAAAATGAAACAATTGGATTATTTTGCTTTGCTTTCAGAACATATATATGTGACAAGTAATAATTTTCTATTTATGAGAGATACTACTTCTGAACTTTTTGATTTATTAGTTCATACATTTGTAAAATATATGTTTGCTGGTTTAGTTGAAAAAATATTAAATAAGATTTTATTGAAAAAAGTGTTTCTTATGATAAAACCATTGCACAAGAATATATGAAACTGTTTTATCAATTTTTAAAAAACTGCCTTGTGAATATCAAAGAGTTGTTCAAATGAGGAATTTGGTATTTCAATGTTTCTAAAAATATGTTAGACTCATTCATGTTGCAAGAAACAAAATATTTTCAGCTATTTCACTGAGTCAGGGTTTCTGGGAAGGATAAGTGCAGAAGTCAAGGAGGCAGTCCTTTCCACAGCTGAAGATAGTTGTTGTGTAGGCACCACAAAGGCCCACAGCCAGCCTTTCCAATGTCATGGCGCCTCTGCTCCTTTCCATCTGCCATTTGCTGATGAGTGGTATCCCTCAACTCCTCTGAACCTTGTGGATTCTGCTTACTGGTGACCCCTGTTACAGTTGTGTCTCTATTGCCTCCTGGTCCTTGTCTACTGCATTCTATCTCTTCATGTTCATATACCTTGTTTTCTGTCAATTCATTTTGAACTTGTTATGTTGAATTTCCCTGAGGAAAACTCTGACTCCACATATTATCATTCCCTTCATGTGCTTGGGCCTTCTGTACAGTGCTATGGCTTGGGCATAAATCCATTTTTGCAATTAGCTATGACCAGAGTGGTAGGGATCATGATGTTCAAGCAGGTCCACACAGGTTGAATTTTACTGGTAAAATTATTATAGGCTAGAGTTTATCCCATTGACTTTGCAGTATCAGAAATTTTTACTTACCAGGGTCCTAGGGTAGATGGATAGGAGGATGATGCAACTTCAAGCTGAGAAACTCAAAAGATTGATCTAAAAGCCAGAGTATCATTATTAATTTAAGAGGAGAAATTTAGCTATCATGCAGATCAGATATTTGTGTCTGCCTGACCAATTCATTTTTATTTCCTGTAGGCAGAATTGGACTGTGGGCATATTAGACAGATAACTGGCCATAGTACCAAGCTATGAAAGGGCCAAACAGCTTTGGAATAAATTGGAAGTATGTCCCAGTTAACTCAGCTTTCTGCACATGGCTCCTCACATAACTGGCTGAATGGAATTTGGCTCCACTTCTGATTCAATAGGCTGGTACTTAGTAGAGATTTATTGAATGTGAAAGTACTCTCTCCACTGAATTTTTTGGTGGAAATAAAAATCAATCCTTGTCAGCACCAATCTATTTCTTTAAAGTTTTCTTTTCCAAAATAAACAGTCTTGTTGCATTGTGGACTTAGAGATGGAGCCCCAAATTCTGAAAACCCCTGGTCTTTTAAAGTATTTAGAGGTAACTATTTGCTTCTGAACCCACAGCATCTCTTGTCCTTAGTACAGAGCAACCTCTTCTGCCCTAGGCATCCTGCTTTCCATAGTTAATACCTTAATCCAAATTAAATAAGCTTCCTAAAATCTTGTTCTAGGATGGCAGAGAGGAGCACATTCAGAGTCAACCTCTCCCCCAAATGCTTGAAACATTAATTTAATAGCAACATTAGTTTCATGTTATTCTAATCCCAGACATTAATGTAAGTCTTTGATTCTCACAATACCTAGAATCATTCATGCATTTCCAGCCCAGATGTCTTTCTGCCATTATAAGTGGATTTTCTATATTTCTGATTGGATCTATTAACTGTTGGCATGGTAATCACATGGCATTAAGAAATTATTCAAATATGAGGCTATGTGCTAAATGCAAAACATGTTTCATAAATAGCCAAACAATTGTCCAGTTTTAGCAAGTTGAGACCTGGGGTCTGTGTCAAGACTGAGCACTGTACTGAAACATGGCTGGTACTTAGTTGAGCTTTACTGAATGTGAAAGATTTCAGTTGCTAGTATATCCTGGTGATTTCCTTTAATAACTGCCTTTAGATGTAGATTGAAGATAGATTTAAAGAGTTAGTAGATTCAACAGAAGTTAGCTTAAATTCTTATGTATTTGACTAGCCCCATCACTGTGAGAAACATACCTTCACTTTTCTTGTAAGGATATGACTTCAATATTGATTCAGTTTCATATTTGAAAGTAAATTGACAGAGTTATCAGCCTACATTACAATAAAATGTTATGATATATTACTTAAGTATTTGTATTTGAGCACTGTCAAAACTATGAAATGATCACTAAGTTGATTAATGTCTTGCTCTGTCTGCTTAGTGTGATTGAGAAAAGAAAAAATAGATCAGACTCTTTTTGACATTTTTGCTCTATGCGTGGCAGTAACTTATCCCAATTGACTTATCCTTAATTCCTAGGAAGACAGAGGTTGACCTTTGCTCTTCATGAGCTGTTTCTTGATATCTTTCAGTCACACCAAGTGTATGTATCTCTATATATGTTTGTGTATGTGTATGGTATATTCCAGTGTAGCCATCACAGAGTAACACAATTTCTCTCTCTTTTTAAGAGCCATTATCTACTATTAGCTGCAATGTAAAGTGTACTCTTATATGTTATCTGGTACACTAATTAAATTGAATGAGGGAGCGAGAACCTATTCACATTGTTGGAGCTAATGACCCAGTGCATTAGTAGTGATAGGGAAGACACATTAGAAGACAAATGTCTTGTTTTAATTGCACTGTTGTAGGATTGGAGGAAAGAGAGAGGCATTTCTTTCAAATTGTAAGTCAGTCTTTATATGAATGGTAAAGAATCGTCTTAAGTCTCCAGACTAACTAATGTTTAGTAAACATTTTCCCTTTGTTGATTATATCCATCCAGGGACTGTAAAATCGGTGCTGCTAATGTAATTCTAAATTGGCATTGATACCAATTACAGTTATTATGCTGTTGAAAAATTAGGCAACATGTGAGCCTTTGTATTACATTAGAAAAGAGAGCGTCTCTGTACTTTTAAAAAAGTAGTAGTACCAGTTGTCAACAAGTATGACCTGCACTCAAGTTTGCATGACAAAAATAAATCACCTGGAAATAAATCATATATCATTCAGGAACGTGATCACCAAAAGAGTGAAGTTTTGTTTGCTTTGTTCCCAGTTATATCTCCAGGACCTAGAAGAAGAATACTTGGTATAGGTTCATAGTAAATGTTTGCTGAGTAGGTAAATGTCATACAATATCCCAGATCCATCTTCTCGAGAGTACTTAAAGGTTATTTCTAAACTATTTACTGTCTTAGTTCCTTAGGATTGAACTTAAAATATAATGTTAAAAATATATCTTTAAGGCTGGGGATGTAGCCAAGTGGAAGAGCACTGAACTTGCATGTCTAGGTTTGATCCCCAGTGCCTCAAAAACCAAACCAAAACAAAGCAAAAAAAAAAAAAAAAAAAAAAAAAAAAAAAAACATATTTTTTTTCGTTTATCTTTCTTAATAATAAGAAATGTTTTGTTAAGAATTGTTAGTTTCCTTTTTTGTTAGAAATT